GTAGGTTCATTCGAACAAATTCATACCCTGTTTTTCCACTTAATACATGGAACGATAATGCGAATCGGAGCACAGGTTCATTATAACGATATGCATTTTTTGAATCAGATAAATTGTTGGCAATGTTGTCAAGAAAAAGAGCTAAAAAAGAAGTATCTTCAGAATTATTTTCATCGTGTTGATCGTCTATTGTTTGATATAGATTAATCAAAGATTTTAATATAGGATGCCTTTGAAGAAAATTAGATGAGAGAATTACATCATCATTTAATAATGTTGATTCTGTTACGTATTGATTATCATCAGTCACTGTTTGTAAATCTCGAATTAAACATTCTAATGAGCTTCGAATACCCCATTTAATTTCAACTAAACCATTATCATGTTGGAAAGCTAATTTATTTTTTAAGACATTTAATTTTTCTGAGTTAAATTCTAAATAACTAAATCTATTTTCTACTCCTAACAATGACTGTACCGATGAAATATCTAATACTTTCATAAATTCAACAATATCATCACCACATTTTTCTTTAACTAATTGATAAAATTTTTCATCACGATAGTTTAAGACATCAGGTGGTAAAGATTTGAACATTTTTTTAATGAACAGATTGTTTTAATTATACTATTGTTTATGTTTAGAGCACCGAAAGTAAATGTTCGACAATCTATGTGATACAATCTGCAAGAATAATATGAAAGCTATAGATCTAATCATGTTTTTTACCAGCTTTTATTTGAAGATAGAATAAAAAAGGTAGTCAGTATAGCCTTTTTTGCTAAGAATTTAAAACATTTCGATAATTATTCAAATTTTAAATATAAAATTTATCAAAAAGAAAAGCTCTCCGTCGAATCACTTCGCGATATAAGTCTTAATTCTTCCTGAACAGATAATATGTTAAAAAATAAAGAACGCAATATATAAAAGTCAAAAAAAAAAATAAATATAAATATGAAAATTTATTTCAAAGTCATGTTAAAACGAAAAGGTATTTGAATTTATTTTTCTTTTTTAAAGTTAAAGTTAACTCTTTACATAAATATAGCATTTTCGAATAATGATGAATTGAGAACTATAGATAATAGAGTACATATAATAGCGTTCAAAACCTAAAAAGAAAATTATTTTACTGCATAAGACAAGTTACATTTCATATTAATCATAATCAACATTCGAAAGTTTCTTTTAGGATTGATACGTTTATATATGCATTTATTATATTTTAGAAAAAATGATGACTATTTGAGCAAAGTTAATGATAAAAATTCATATGATACAATTAAAATCCTAAAAAGTGACAATAAAAAAATCAAGTTACGTTTCATATTCATTAAATGTATTATACACTTTTTTTACTAATATAAAATGTAAATAAATGTGTTAGTGAAAGCATCACAAAATATGATTAATGATAAAATACATGTAGTACAAAAATGTTCTAGTAAAATTCTTTGTAAATACCAGTCTAATTCTAAATTTTAATCATTTTGAATGAGCATGATGAAATCGTTTTTTCTGAGCAACGTCGTGCGTGGCAGAACGTTTTACACTACCTTCTACTAAAATAAAGAATAAATAATCATTTATAAATGTAGATGATATTTAAAAATACCTTCCAGTGTTGTATCGACATCGATGTTTGAATCGATTCGATTTGGAGCATTTTTATTTGATACAGGTTTTTTTTAGAATTCTTGATTGTCGTACATGTAACTGATACTAAGTGCTTGTGAAAATTGGACAGTTGAAAATTCTTTTGTAGTTTCACAAGAGTAATTTTACTTTCGCATCTACATTTTATTTTTGCTGTGAAGTTTGTATCGCTTGATCGTGTAAGAAATAAATGATAATCAACACCTTCAGATAATGATACTTTTGAAGAATGCCTTTGACACCAATTGGTGATAGACTTTAAAATAAAATTTCGATGATAATTTTCATTGACTGGTACAGTAGATGTTGATCGAACAATCTTTGCTGCGGTAGATGAAGACATTTGTTGCTGTTGATCAGATGAGGTTTCATTCATATCAGATGAGTCAGCATTATTAGACGAAATAGTAGAATTATATAACTTTTTTTTCTTTCTTAACAATTTCATATCTTCATCTTGTTTCTTGATAATCAATTCACAAAAGTAATTCATTAAACTCTTAATGCCTGGTTTCACTATGTATAAATCATTATCTGACTTCGAGCGTATTTTTTCTTTTAATGAATTTAAAGCCATACATTTAATATTCAGAATGGCAAAAACATCTGGTATTAGTAAAAGTGAATCAGGACTACGAATAGATTGTATTTCAAGCAATTCTGCTGCACTTTCACCTACAATTCGTTTGACAATATCGTAGAATTGTGCATCAGTATAAGAAAAAATATCATCAGGAAGTAATGAAGTATTAATATAACGCTTGAATGTTGTCATAATATTCAACTGAAGAGATAAAAAAGGTGAAATACTGATAAAAATGTCTCTTGTTATCGATATAAGAGATGGAAATGACTGTATAATTCACCACATTTTTTTTCGTCATCCAAACTGTCTAGACATTCGATGTTAACAAAGAAAAGAAAACAACGTAATATTTTACAGGGAGATTATACCCTAGATAGTCTCTGTGTTACGCATATTTCTCTTCAAGCATGCAATAATTTTTTTTTTAAATTCGAAGTTAATCTAAGGCCTTTCTCCTTCTCAAAAGCCCATATTGGCCCAAGTATGTTAAAATGGCATGAAGTTCTAATAAAATATTGCAGCTATAGAGAAGAAGCAATGACAAAATTTTCAGCCCTCTATCATGACGTTTCAGAAAGATATTGTCCCAATAATAATAAGAAATAATTCATGAGGCACACCAAATTTCTTCGTCTAGCCTCTCTCTCTCTCTATATATATATATTTTTTTTTTGAATGAGCATGTCTGGATACCGAGCAGACCAGAACTCTTTTTTGAATTCTTACTTTTTAAATGAAAAGAGAGGATTACAAGTTCAATGGTTTTAAAAAATCCAACATTTTTTTCTATAGAACCTTTTTCTATATTATTACAAAAAATTTTGTTTTAGGAAAGGACTATGCAATACTGTGCATCCTGGCGTGTTCTTTTAAACAAAAGCAGAATATACAACATGAATCTGGACAGAAAAATTTGATTGATCGATCAAAAAATTCTAAGCTGAGAAAAAGTCAAAATATGTCGATTTAACTGGAGAAAAATATAATTTTTAAACACAAAATAACGAAATTTCCGGGAAAAACAAAGAAGCAAATCATAACTCATATTATTTCTCCCAGATCTCAATTTAGGCTATCTTTTCATGTATTTATCTCAATTTCAGAATTGTTGACGAAAACTGACTATTTTCAATGGCACGAGTGGGCTTAACCGTTTTTATTATTTATTAAATCCATTTCAAATTAATTGAGAACAGTGCGTTTTCATTGTACTTCGTGTACTCTGTTGTACTCCGTGTACTCTACTGTACTCCGTGTACTCTACTGTACTTCGTGTACTCTACTGTACTCTACTGTACTCTACTGTACTCCGTGTACTCTGAGAGCACGAAAGTACGTCGTTCCCCCCTAGCCACATACTCATCAATAATAACAACAGAATCGCAAAAATACTTACAGCAAAACCTAATTATAATACAACTCAATAAATAGACTTATTTCATAAGTACATATCAACATAACAACCTTTCATACATATTTACAAGTTACAATTAGAAACAACAACAAATTGACATAAAGTTCGAAAACACAAAACAAACTTTCTTACTCATTTATTGACAAAACTTTTAGATATACAAATTAATATTTAACATTGATTCCAATCTCAACCAGATTCTAAACTCGACTGCCACATATATCTACATATATGTAAAAAGTTCTTGCTTCGTATCATCAGTTTTTTTATTAATTATAGACTAAAGTTTATTTTTGTTTCAATCACAAGTTTAATTTTTTTATATTAATCAGGTAAGCAAAATATTATTTTAACTATTGGTCATTTGTAATCATCGTTGTTTATAAACTTTATAATAAACAATATAACAGATTTTATATATGTTTCTAAAATTTTACTTTTTCATTAATATCGCATAATTTATTATCGTTTTCCTAATTAATAACGCAATGATTGGTATTGATGCAACAAATATATATATTCTTTATACGAGTTATATTTGTTCCATGTATACATTGATATTAAAAAATCTAATTCAATTAACTAATTGTGATCATCAACAATGTCGATCCAGTTTTAAATCTCAACGTGGGTAAGTTTCATTATTCAATTAATTTGAATTTTTTTTTAAATATCGCTTTCAGAACGACCATCGAATGTCGACAATATTTAATAGAAACAGCACAAAACCAAGTAAAAATTGATAAACCTTTCAAAAACGATATGAAATCCTTACCAATTCAATGCTATTTTTGTAATTGGATAGGTATTCTAGAAAAATATCAAGTAACATATCTTATATTGATCTTATTTTTGAATGTTAAATTCTTTTCTTGAAATGGAACATCTTGAGGGTATGGGTATGGGGTGTGGATGAGTTGAACAACGACGCATTCACTCACACCCACACCCACGTGAAAATGTAGCTATAGTAGCTGACCTCATAGCCCACCCCACATCCTCATCATCAAGTTTTTGATGAATGAGACTTTTTCTCTCGTCATGATAATTGGTCGTTCTGTGGTAGCTTCACATCGATTTGACGTTTCCACTATTCGAATCATTAATGCATTGAGTTATTTTTCCGTTTTAACCGTGTTTAATAATCGCTAACGAGAAGAATTGTCGATGAAACATTAACAAAAAAAAGAAAACCCCTTATGTTTATGATGACTTATAATCTACTCTATCCTACCATTGTCTGACTTATTCTCGAATATTACTGTCTTCTACATCAGAATTGAAGCAAGTTTTTACCCTATCTATTAGCATTATTTAGTATCTTGTATTAAGAATAAGAAGTAATCTTAATGCATATGAAAGAAAAAAGTCTAGTTGAGTTCCACTTTTTTGCTTCATAACGAGATGTAGTGATAAGTTTTTTGAGAATAATTAGAGTTATTGTTTTAGAAGAATTTTTTTGGTTATATTTCGAACAAATTCTATCATTTTGCATCGATGTTCACTACTGGGTAAGTACTGTAATGGTTGTTCATGGTCCTCAGTGTTCAATAGACATTTAAGATGAGTGATAACATTGAACTTTAGAGAATCATTCGACCCGTCCTTTCCACAATAGCCACATCCAGTGCTGTACACGTACATACCGCTTTCATTCACTAAACATTCGCATATTTGTGTGTAGATGCGGAACATTTCGGTATTGTTCAGCTTTTCGGACAGTCCAAAATCAGCCATGGAAAGAACGGCTGAAGTGGAATAGTTCGGCATGCCAAGGATGATCATCGATTCAGACGACGATCGACCACTTCGACGAATATTCCAATCACGTTGCTTAACGTTACCGTCTCTGGCAATGAATAAGTCGCCTGCATAGATTCCATTTTTATAAGAGAATTCGGCTGCTTCCAGAGCCGTCATGGTTGAGTAGGTCTGAAACATGAGTTGCCAGTCGGCAGTTGAATTATGCAGGTAGAAAGGTGACGACGAAGCCCACTAGAAATAGACAAAAAAATATATTATGCATGTACACAGAAAGTAGAATTACCTAAGTCAATCATTCCTGCTGTCAGAATCGCCGGAAAACCGACCAGTTTCGACAGGACAACAATGATTCAGATAGTCTCAGTGAAAAAGAGTAAGGCATAGTTAGGATATGGCTCGTGTACATAGGGCACGATTTAAAAATTGTGAGGTAACATGTTGGATATTCAATTATTTTAAAACGCGTTTTTCTTGCCTTTCGTGTTTACACGGATAAGTTTGTCATCTCAAATACAGAAAACAATCTTACTTGTTCTATAAAACATGCATTCTCTGTGCCGCAGAGATTAATGGATATGGGAAAAAATCTGCCATCTAGCATAAAGCCGCAGACACCATGATCAACGCTAGTGCCATCCGAATATGTTTTTGCCTCGACAAATTCTTCGACAACGGCTGATGCGGGTAATTGTTCATCAATCCATAGCAAAGCTATATGCTTGCGCAGATAGGCCAATCGATCATAGATGTCCCAGTGGCACTCATAGATGATACCGTGCTCAGCATGTGTCATGCACTGAATACCAGATAGTCCGTCCGAGTCCAACTTGACAAAAGCGCCGAGGCCATATTGATGACGAAGACGATCGATGGCTTCGATAATGGCTCGAGCAAAGATCTGAACAACAAAAAAAGAGTCCAATGCAAATGGACGAAATATTTTTAGTCATTTAGTGACTTTTGAACTATTATTTTGTTCAAAAGTAGAATCCATAGAGGCTAGAAAAAAAGAGAAGGAATGAACTTTCTATAGACTTTCATTCCTTGAAATATCATTTTTTCAAGATATTCTTTTACCAGTATACATAACATTTTATTTACTGAAGGAGAGATATTCGAGAGCGGAAAATTACTGTGACGATGAATGCCACAATACTGCAAATGTCGAGTAGGTGGTAGTCCATCCTGAGACTAAGTCTCAATGTAGAATAATGATCTGAACAATTTTATTGATCATTTCAGACGAATATTCGACTACTTTTGTTATGATGGCTGAAGTGGCAAACATTCGTAGATATCCTTAGACGCTTCAAACTTCTATCTATTCAGTAGTTCTGTCACATTCTTTAGATTTATCATTTCGAGAAAAACAGGATCTTGTGGGCAGTATATGGGATTATTCTTGGCATAAATTTGACGCGCGATGTATACTAACATATGTTTTGTTCTGACCCTTCTCTTCGATCTTTCCCAGGTGGAGCTGTCCGAAAATGGAAGCGTCTGATTTTAACTACTTGCGATTGACATTCATGAATGCCATCATTTCGAGGAATATGCCCAAAAATAACATTAACACATAGTCTTTTGTTTTCTAGGTTTCTGAATATGGTATTGCGTCAGGGATGTCACCTTTCATGAGCTTCTCTCTCCATAAGATGGTAATATTTCTCTGTACTTAACTATAACTGATTCCAGTCGCCACTTAATTCATGAAAAAAATGTATTCTCTTCTAACTTCAGTCAATGGCAAGGATTGGAAAAAGATCACAATGTATTGTCTAAAACAGTTGTAGAAACATAGCAAGATTATTGTACTTGTTCGTCGAGCTATATATTTCTTCTAAAACAACGAGTTTTGGTTAAGAATATTATTTGTTTGTAAAATTTCTATAGAAGAAAAAACTACGTTTTGTTCTAACATGTCTTGAAAATTGGTTAGAGCAAGATACGTCGTTAGTGTTGATAGCCTCTGATATCGGTTTAATGAAGACGTATTCTATGTATCTAAATA